TTTGGATGCCTTTTATTTCTTTTTCTTGTCTGATTGCTGTGGCTAGAACTTCCAGAACTATATTGAATAAAAGTGGTAACAGTGGGTAACTGGGCAACCTTGTCTTGTTCCTGATCTTAAGGGGAATGGTTTTAGCTTTTCCCCATTGAGTATGATGTTAGCTGTGGGTTTATCATAAATGGCCTTTATTATGTTGAGATATGATCCCTTTATTCCCACTTTGCTAAGTGTTTTTATCATAAATGGCTGCTGGATTTTATCAAATGCTTTTTCTGCACCTATTGATAGGACCATATGATTTTTATTTTTCATTTTGTTGATGTTGTGTATCACATTAATCGATTTGCGGATAGTGAACCAACCTTGCGTACTAGGGATGAAACCCACTTGATCATGGTGTATGATCGTCTTAAAATATTGCTGAATTCTGTTTGCTAATATTTTGTTGAGGATTTTTGCATCTATGTTCATCAGGGATACCAGCCTGCAGTTTTCCTTTTTTGTACTGTCTTTGTCTGGTTTTGGAATCAGGGTGATAGTAGGTGGCTCCATAGAAAGAATTTGGGCGCCTTCCCTCCTTCTGGATTTTTTGAAATAGTTTGAGAAGAATAGGTGATAATTCTTTTTTGAATGTTTGGTAAAATTCACTTGTGAAGCCATCTGGTCCAGGGCTTTTGTTTGTTGGGAGCTTGTTGATTACTGATTCAATTTCCTTGGTAGTAATCAGTCTATTCAGATTTTCCATTTCTTCTTGAGTTAGCTTCGGAAGGTTGTATGCTTCTAGAAAATTTTCCATTTTTTCCATATTGTCAAATTTGTTGGCATATAGTTGCTCATAGTAATTTCCTTAAATTTTTTGTATTTCTGTGGTGTCTGTTGTCACTTCACCTCTGTCATTCCTGATTTTACTAATTTGAGACCCCTGTCTCTATTTTTTTTTTTTGGATGAGTCTGGCTAGAAATTTGTCAATTTTGTTTATCTTCTCAAAAAAACCAGCTCTTGGTTTCATTGATCTTTTGTATTTTTTTTTTCGGTCTCTCTTTCATTTATTTCTGCTCTGGTCTTTATTATTCCCTTCCTCGGGCTTGATTTGTTGTTCTTTTTCCAGTTCCCTGAGGTGTAAGGCTAACCTGTTGATTTGAGAGTTTTCTTGCTTCTTTAGGTGGGCCTGCACTGCTGTAAACTTCCCTCTGAGGACTGCTTTCGCTGCATCCCAGAGATTTTGAGTCGTGGTGTTTTCATTTTCATTTGTCTTGAGGTATCTTTTGATTTCCTCCTTGATCTCATTTTTGACCCACTCACTATTTGGTAACATGTAATTCAGCCTCCACATATTTCTGTGTTTTCCAGTTTTTTTTCTTGTAGTTGATTTCTAATCTCATAGCACTGTGATCAGAGAAGATACTTGATATGATTTCGATTTTCTTAAATTTATTGAGACTTGTTTTGTGGCCTAACATGTGGTCTATCTTGGAAAATGTTCCATGTGCACTTGAGAAGAATGTATATTCTGTAGCATTGGGATGAAATCTTCTGAAAATATCAATTAAATACAGCTGGTCTAATGTGTCATTTAAGGCCACTGTTTCCGTGTTGATTTTCTGCCTGGAGGATCTGTCCATTGGTGACAGTGAGGTGTTGAAGTCCCCTAGTATGATAGTGTTACTGTTGATCTCTGTCTTTATGTCTGTCAATATCTGTTTTATATATTTAGAAGCTCCTATGTTAGGTACATAGATGTTTACTAGGGTTATGTCCTCTTGTTGGATAGATCCCTTTATTATTATGAAGTGCCCTTCTTTGTCCTTTATTATATTTTTCAATTTAAAGCCTATTTTATCTGATATATGTATCGCTACTCCAGTTTTTTCTCAGTTCCATTTGCATGAAATATTTTACTCCATCCCTTTACTTTCAGTCTGTGTGTGTCTTTTGATCTGAGGTGAGTCTCTTGTATACAGCATATGCTTGGGTCCTGTTTTCTTATCCATTCAGCCACCCTATGTCTTTTTTTTTTTTTAAGATTTTTATTGGGGAATTGGGGGAAGGGGAACAGACAAGTTGCTGTCATTTTGTTCTTCAATCTAGTTGTGGAGAATGTCGCTTCACTGGCCCAAGTTGGCACCATCATTGCGCTCTTCCCGGGCGAGGCAGATCAGTCGCCGGCTTCTGGACGGCTGCTCGCTGCAGCTGCTGGCCGCTCACGCTGGCTGCTGGCTACACATGGTAGCCCATGGCAACCCACTGCAGCAGGGGCTGCAGCCTACACCGTCACTGGCGACTCAGGGCAGCCCAGCTCCAGGTTGAGCTGTTGTTCAGCATCTTAGCTGTAGAGGGCAGTGTCACTGGCCCTCATATGTGGGATCCGAACCGGGGCCCCCTGGCATCCCAAGCCAGTTCTTAACCATCGCACCACTCGGCCGGCCCCACACTGTATCTTTTGATAGGTGCATAATTATTGCCATTTTGTTATTTGTGTTCCTGTGGGAAAGCCCATCTCAGACCACTTACAAGTGTCCCCTCCACTGTGCACAAAGAACAAAATGACTAGAGCGACGCTCAGCTGGGAGTGCAGCTCAGTCCAAACTTTGTGAAGGCGAGTACACAATTAGGGACATGTTTGTCCACTGTCCTCAAAGAGGACTCACCCCATAAGACTGGAAACAATCCTGATGTCACCATCAGTGACATGGACGCCACTGATGTCTCACACTAGAATGCACTGCTCCACCGGGAGTACAGTGACCAGCAGGGCCTCTCCAGTGACAACTTTATGCTGTGTCCTGAGGGGACCAAGTAGAGAATTAGGACCATGATGGCCCCTTTTGGATTCCTGGAGTTTGTTCCCTGCAACGCTGCCATCTCGCCCGGCCTGCACGCGGCAGCACAGATCTCCAGAGGAGACTTGGTCCACATCTCAGGACTAGAGGACATTGACAGCGCCCTAGTCATGGGGAGAGAGGAGGACAAGCCCTTCAAACAGAGGCTAAAGTCCGAGTCCTCAGAGACGTCCCTCTTCTGAAAGCTGCAAACTCTTAAAGGTGAACATGAGACTTTCAAGCTCACGTCTGACCTGGAAGATGGTCGTCTTGAGCGGGGCATTCGCCCTGGGAACTGTCGGTGGTGTTTTGCACGTTTTGAGGTGCAGGACATTTTGTTTAACAGCAATAATGCAGTGGCTACGAGGGCTCCCGTGGGGAAAAGGAAGAACGTGCCCACCGGGGCCTCTAGCAGCCCAGACTCAGATGCCAGGGGCCAGACGGGCAACTGTGAGTTCCCCTTGGGGAGCAAGGTCCTCAGCTCACGAGAGAACCTGGACGCCGATGAGGGTGACGGGAAAAGCAATGACCTGGTCCTCAGTTGCTAAAACATTAGAAATGAGACGGGGAGGGGACAGGAGGGTCGCACTCTCTAGGGCCAAGTCCTCACCTTTCAGTTCCGGGGGAAGCTGCTCCTTTGAGTCCTTGCTCGGCTCTCACTGCACAGATGCCAGCCTGTCGCCTTGGAAGTGCCCGGGAGACCCAGCCCTCACAGGGAGAGGCTGAAGCCTCCATCACAGCGCACATGGACCTGGGCACCTGCTGTTACCCCAAGTTCTTCTACGGGAAAGAGCAGCAGAACAGCTTTGGGATAGACGGGCACCCGGGCCCGGGGCCAGAACCACCCAGAGGGAGAAGGTGGAGGACGCCAAGGAGAGGCAGGGGCGCGGTTCCGCCACCAGGTGGCGCTCAGGACGAGGGAGCTTACAACACAGGAGAGGTTTGAGGAGACGCTGTGCCCTCCACTGCCAGACACGGGACCCACGAGGGATGCCCCTCACAGAAGTCCTGGGCTACATCGTCCCAGAGCTGAGCGCCCAGTCTCTGCGACAGGCATCGAGGTCAGCCAGGGTCTCGGAGCAGCTGCTCAAGCTCCATGGACAAGGGCTGAGCTTGGAGCACAAACCTGGGAGCCTTTATGACAAAGCAGCCAGAACACGAGGCGGAGACGTATGCCAGTGAGACGGTGGGGTCAGCGTTGGAAGAGTTTCTTGTATAAAGAAAAACCTGGAACCCAGGGCGGGTGCGTTTTCTCACGGGCGTGTCCGGCCCACCCCCTCCCCCTCCGGGAGACCCCTGCCCCTTTGTGCTCCCAGCTGACTGGAGCGGCTCCTGTCCCACTGTCTGTGCTTGGCCAGCCCAGACATGTATTTTCTCGTGTTGATTTTATTGTTACCAAATTATCTTCCTTGTAGCGCATTCAACCCAAGGAGATGGAATGAAAAATGACGCCTTTTCTGATCCCACATCTAGAGCCAGTTTGCTTATGGCCTCCCCAAGCCCCGGCCAGCAGGCACAGGCTGAGGGTGGCGTTCGGGGCCCTACAGGATGGGGTTGTGTTCCCTGCAGGCTGAGGCGAGCATGACGAAGAGCCCTGGGTCTCCGGAGAGATGGTCTCAGATGGAGACCTTTGGCAGGTCACCTGAGCTCTCGTGAAATTGGGGTTTCAATAGTGCATGCCAGTTAGGGTTGACATTGGGATTAATTGAGCTATGACTTTGCACAGCTGAGAGCAACACCCGCTGCATCAGCGGGGACCATACAGGTGAGCTACTAGTAAAACGTTTCTTGTCCTTTTCCAGCTGACGGTGATCAACTCAACCGACTTGATTTCCAAGCAGGGCCAGGGGCCCCACAGCCTGACGACTCAGTGCGTGACTGGCGAGTACTGGACTGCCAGCCACTGCTGTAAGGGCTGCCCGGCCGGTGAGTCCCACCCTGGGGACGGGACGCAATCCAACCCTGGATCGCCGGGCTTGGACATTCCTTCCGTCTGCACAGGAGAATAAATGCACATCTCATACCGTGAAAGACATTCCCAGAGCCCCCTAAATCCCAGTAACTAACACGGCACCATGGAAACTGACAGAGAGCTGATGAGGTGGGAGATGGCTCCAGGGAAATCCTTCTAGAAGGAAACACTCGCCGACCCTTAGTGAGGGTGACCAAGGAAGCCCACTGTGGCTGAGGGAAGTTTTTATCGGGTAGTGACCAGAACCCGTGTCAGACCTCAGGTGCCTGCAGAGGGGACCTGGGCAGTGCTCGTCCGGGGGCCTGAGGTCACCGCTCTGGTTTCCGACTGGGGCGGGTGGTGGTGAGCCCTGGCTGTGGAGGCAGACAGCCGGGATGTTGTCGGGCCTTCCACTGACCCGGACAAGAGGCGCGTCCTCGGCCGGCCTCAGTACCTGACGGGCGAGGAGGGTTCAGGACCTCTGTCGGAGGAGCAACTGCAGGGCAGGCGGCCAGAGCCCTTGGAGGCAAGAGCCAAGCCCGTCTGTGCTTCTTCATGTCCAAGACGCTGTACAAATCCAGATTATTTCAATCCCAAACCCCAAGACCTAAGTATTTCTATGTGCTCACTGGCGAGGCAGCACCCACGGTGTGCCCGGGGGCGGGACCTCACCACGGCGCCTGACTTCTTACAGGCCAGTATGTCAGTGAACCGTGCAGGAGCCCGCACACCCAAGGCAAGTGCATGAAGTGTGACAGAGGGACGTTCACAGCGTTCCCCAACGGCCTGGATTCCTGTTTCCCGTGCGACACCTGTTCCCAAGGTGAGTCCGCTGCACAGGCAGCTTCCTTGACCTTGAAGCCTGTGACCCGGCAGCGCGCGGCGCGAACCTAGTCACGTAACAGATGTTCATGTTGCGTCTTATTATTAAGCTTCTAGCTTGCTCGATGCTCACCCATTAGACATTAAAAGAAAGGCCGAGGCCCGTGGCCCCTCTACCGGCTTTGGGCAGAGGGGGGAGTGGCCAGCGACGAGCTGAGCGCTGCCCGAAGCAGGTAGCAAATGGCCGAGTAATGTCGTTTAGCGGGTTAAACTATTCTCCTGGTTTTGAGAGAAAGAGAAAAACGCACAATGACACAGCGATTCACAAATTTAAACTGCGATGCCCTTTTTCCACCATTTTATTAATTTAGGAAATTAGTAAATTAAAAATAGAAAACTTGAAAACAACCCACTAAGTTACTAGGTTAAACTTAACCCCCAAGGGAATAAGGAAGTTTTATTATGAAAAAATTTAAAAAGGTATAAAAATTGAAAGAATAAAACAGGCATCACCAGTGGATTTTCCACCGATGATTAAACAATGGCTAGTGTCCTATCACACTTGTGAGGGGCCGTGTCTGTGAACCATTTAAAAACAGCACCAGAGTCACACTATTTCACCCCAAAACACCACAGCACCCACTTCCTGAGAACAGACACATTCCCTCACAGAACCAGGTGCTGTGGCCACATCCAGGAGAAGGAACAGTAATTCCCTGACGGCCAGTCCATACGCACATTTACTGTGACCTAGGGCGCCAGCACCCGGCTCAGGTGTTTACCTGGGAGACAGGTGTGGGACGATGTGGTGAGGATGTCCACAGCAGGGTCTGCAGCATTCGCCAGACTCGGGACTATCCCAGTGCCTCTGCTGAGGTCCGGACCCAGGCCACACCACTTCCGTTCCAAATGACCATATAGGTCCAGGGGCCCACACAGGACAGGGCGCGTCCCTTGGGCTGACCCAGTCTTTCTGACCTACAGACAAAGAAATGGTGGCGGAGTGTAATTCGACCAGCAACTGGATATGCCGGTGTAAAACGGGCCATTTCTACCAGCTCCCGGACTCGTATGAATTCTGCAGACGGTGCAGCACGTAGGTGACACTCGGACCAGGTGCCGTGGGCGGGGTTCACAGGTGGCTGTGCACCTGGGCTTGTGTGGGCTTATTCTTTAGGGGCTGACAACAGTGGGGCGTGGGACTGTCCACCGGGTCACTACAGCCCGACAACAGCCTGACACCGTTTCCACCCAGCCACGTGGTTCTCTTTTCTTATCTCCATAGAATCATGTTAACTTTCAGGTTATTCTGTATTTGGACAAATTCTGCTTCACATGTTTCTTTTCCGTCTTTCTAGAGTTTTCTGATTGCCTCTCTGTTTTAATGCACCACTTGCCTTTTTCAAGCCTCACTTTTTCCGAGCTGTCCATCACCCTCTCTGTCTGTCATCCATTGCGGGGCTTGTGTCCCGGGTCCCCAGCTGGAGTCACCACTCCCAAGGTCAGCTCCCAGCGGCCAGTGTGAGTGGCCCTTCCCGCCCTCCGGGGCTCCGCTCCTTTGTTTTGCTGGAGTGTACCCTGATGTGACCCTTGGGAAGGGGTGCAGGACATGGATGTTCATAGCACACCCTGCTCCCCAGTGTGGGTTTGGGGGAAGCACCCCACTGCATGCCAGCCCAGAGCCTACCTTCTGTTGGTGACAATATGGACCCGGCTGCCTGGGGCCCAGGAGGAGGATGTGGGACAGGAACTCAGAGGGCCTTTCTGTCCCCCAAGGTGTCCCCAAGGGCATGTCGTCCTACATAAATGCAACTCTACGGCCGACACAGTGTGCGGCGTGCCTGACCCGGGTAAGAAGCTCCCTGTTATTTCATAGTTATTTTTATTGAGATGAAATTCATATATGAAATTAACCATTTTAGAGTGAGCATTTAGTGACCAACATACCACCACCTCTGTCGAGTTTGAAACTGAATACATCACCCCAGAAGGAATGTCTGCACACGTTAAACATGCGGTTCTCAACCTTTCACAGGGGTTGCCTAAGACCATCGGAAAACACATATTTTCGATTGTCTTAGGAACCGAGACACCACTCCTCCATCCGTCTCCAGGCCCACATGCAGATACGCCTACGTACGAGTACCCGGCGACCCGTGTGAAAGGGTCATTCGACCCGTTACGACCCACAGGTTGAGAACGCTGCATTAAACAGTAATAACTCCCCAGTCCCTCCTCCCCCAGCCCCTGCCAAACACTAGTCTACATTCTGTCCTAGATTTTCCTGTTTGGACATTTCATAGAAAAACAATTGTATGACATGGCCTTTTGTGTCTGGCTTCTGTAGTGCAGTATAGTGTTTTCAAGATCCACGCTTGTAGCGTGTGTCAGTGCTTCATAACTTTTTATGGATGAATAATATTCAGACATATGTACTGGAATATACCACTTTAAGAAGTCATTTATCTGTCAATGGAGTTTAAAAAAATTTTTAAACAAATACAGCCTTGAGCCAAGAGCATTCTATGGGGAGATTAATTTTTTAAATAAATGGTGTTGGAGAAACTGGACAGCCTCCTGAAGAGAATGAACTGGAGCCTTACTTTACCCCTCACATAAAAATCAACTCAAAATGAATCAAGCGCCTAAATATAAGAACTAAAACTATAAAACTCCTAGAAGAAAACAGAGGGAAAGTTTCATGACATTAGTTTGGAAATGACTCCTTGGAAATGTCACCAAAGGCCCAGGCAGTGAAAGAAAACCACAGACGACAGACATAATAAAAAAACCCAAAAAACCCATGCGTCAGAGAGTGCATATGGACAGAGTGAAAATACACCCCACAGATGGAGAAAATATTTCCAAACCATATAGCTGATAAGGGATTGATGTTCAGAATATATATAGAACTATAGGGTCAGCTGAGTGGCACGTTGGTTAAGAGCTGGCTTGGGACGCCATCTCTGAGCAGCAGGGCCCAGGTTTGGATCCCACATGAGGGCCAGTGACGCTGCCCTCTACAGCTGGGATGGTGAACAACAGCTCGACCTGCAGCTGGGCTGCCGTGAGCTACCAGGAGTGACTAGCAGCAGGCGAGAGTTGCCAAGAGCCGCTGTGAGCGTCCGTCCAGAGGCCAGCAACCGATCTGCCTCAGCCGGGAAGAACGCAATGACAATACCAACATGGGCCAGTGAAGTGACGTCCTCCACAGCTAGACTGAAGAACAAAAGGACAGCAACTTGGCTGTTCCCTTCTCCAATTTCCCAACGCTGTTCCCTCCCCCAGTTCCCAATTAAAAAAAAAAAAAAAACTACAGATCAACAAGAAACAACCCAATTTTTTCAATGGAAAAGAACTTGAATAGACATTTCTCCAGAGAAGATGTACAAATGGTCAACAAGCACATGACACAATGACAGTCACTTTGCATCACGACATGAGGATGATCACGTCGCTAATCACCAGGGAAATGCAAATCAGAACTACAGTGAGTCACCAACTCTCACCCATTTGGACGGCCACTATTAAATTTTTTTTTAAACCACACAAGTGTTGGCAAGAACGTAGAGAAAGTGGAAACTTGTGCAGTGCTGGTGGGAGTGTAAATTGATGCATACACCATAGAAAATAGTGTGGTGGTTCCTTAAAACTTAAATGCAGAATGATCATATGATCCAGCGATCCCACTTCTGGGTATATACCCAAAAGACGTGAAGTCAGGGACTCAGACAGACACTTATACACTCATGTTGGTGACACCGTCATTCACAACAGCCAGAGGTGGAAGCAACCCACGTTTCCTTCGATGGATGAACGATGGATCCAGACAATGCAATATCATTCAGCCTAAAAAGGAAGGAAATTCTGCGCCCTCTCGCTCTCTCTCTTTTTTGCCACCATCTTGGTTCCGCATTTCCTGCACAAAATGCCCAGTGAAGCCACGAAACCGTCCCTGCTACAGAGCAGGAGTTGCCACAGCTGCAGGCTCAGCCAGGATCTGGAACAGGATCTGACAGTGACAAGTCAGAACCAGAGCCCGAGAAGGGAGGTTGCACAGAGGCATCCACACAACAAGCCGGTCAGTAAACCAGAACAGAGCCGGCGTGAAAGGAGGCACGGGGGCTGTGTGCAAAGTGGGCCTTCGACAGGCTCCAGGGTCACTCGGGTCACTGTATGGAAATCCGAGTATATCCTCTTTGTCATCACGAAACCAGAGGCCTACATAGTTTTCGGGGAAGCAAAGATGGAGGGTTTACTCAGCAAGCACAGTAGCAGCTGCTGAGAAATTCAGAGTTCAAGGTGAAGCTGTCTCCAACACTCGGGGAAACACACAGACTCCAGCTGTACAAGAGGACAGCGAAGAGGGTGGTGAAACAGGTGTGGACGTGAAGGACTTAGAATCAGTCGTGTCACAAGCAAACGTGTGGAGAGCAGAGCCGGCCCCAGTCCTGAGGAACGTCGGGAATGGCAGTGTAAGTGCTGTGATGGAATTACCGGTGTACGTCACAGCCCAGGCTTGTCACAACTCAGCTTTGTGCCTTTTGTCCCCTTCCTCCAATCCCACCCCCACCCCGCCTGTGAGAACCACCAATCTGATCTCTTTTTCTCTGAGTTTGCTGTGGTTTTAGATTCCACACGTAGATGACATCAGATGGTCCTTGTCTTTCTCTGTCTGCCGTGTCTCACTCCACAGAAAGCCTTCAGGGTCCATCCATTTTGTTCAAATGGCAGGATTTTCTGCTTTTTGTGGCTGAGAGTGTTCCAGTGTGTGTGCGTGTGTGTGTGCGCGCTCATGTTTGTGTGTGCTCGTGTGTGTGCACACGTGCACCATAGCCTCTGTGTCCATTCTTCGGTCAGGGACACTTGGTGGCTTCTATACCTCCCTAGCTGCTGTGAACATGGGGTTCAAATGTCTCCTCAACATAGTGTTTGCATTGCCTTCGAATATATTCCCAGAGGTGGAATTGTTGGGTCTGTTGGTTTATTCTTTATCATGTTGCTGCTCATCGATAGCTGTTTTTTACCTTACTGAGGCATTTTCTGTTTTCCCCATTTCCAGAGCACACAAAATTGTCTTTGATCGTGGTGGGCTGTCTCATTGTTTGCCTGGTTATAATCGCCCTTCTCTGCTATGCTGTGTGTCATTGTCGCCGTAACGGTATGTATCATGGAGTTAGAGCCATTGGACAGGGGTTATGGGGTGAGATACAGCCGAGCTGCGGGGCAGGTCCTGGGACCCCTGAGTTAGGACAGGGCTGGGCCTTTCCTCGTTAGCACTTGGTTGTCACCAGCTGAGGCTCCTCTTACCCCACAGAGTGGCCGAAAGGGGGGACACTCGCCTGGAAGTGACCACACTGCAGTCACGGCAGAGCCCCAGGCTGAGGCTGAGGGACTGGCACGGCTGGATTACGGGGTCCCTAACGCATCCGTTAATGGGGCCCCCGCTCCATCTCAGAGACAGACCTGGGCTGGGGCAGGGTGTGTCCGGCAGGCGCAGTGGGGAGGAACCGGGAGCTGCTGGGACTAAATGGCAGCTGGGTGCTCTCGGTGCAGAGAGCCACGGGCCTCGTGGAAGGTTCCAGAAATTGTGTAACCGCACAACTGTGGGAAGCGAGCCACACCAGGGTCATCCCTGCAGCTTCCCTGACGAGCCCCCTGGCCTGGGGAGGGGTGTGGTCACTTCCCAAGACATTGCATCACAGGAGAGTCTCTGCCACCCGTTAAGCACAGTTTGCTGTCTGTCTTCACAGGAAACGGTGACAGAAGAGAAAGCACGGTGAGTGGCGTCCTGGTTTCTCACCGAGGAACACGGCGCAGGCCCAGGCGGGGTTCCCACCGGGGCTCAGGCCCGCCTGTGGGTCCGGAGGGGCCGTACCAGCTCCAGGAGCCAGTGGAGGCCTGAGTATCAGCCACGGATTGTCCTGTGGCCAAACGGGAGCCGAGGGCCCTGAGCCGGAGGAGCCTTGGGCTCTGGAGGGTTCCATTCATGGTGGGGAACTGGAGACGCCAAACGGGCCTGGGGGCCTTGCCCGAGGCCAGCCAGCCGGCAGTCAGGGCACAGCTGAGACCAGAGCCGGCCCCACTGGGCCCCTCCGTGTTCTCTCCAAACCCCCTCTGCGTGGGATCTGCAGGCCCCTGCCCTCCCAGGGGGCACCTGTGCATATCACCCCCCTCAAAGCGTTTTCTTGGTTTTTAGTTGCCTGAAAGCTCAGTGTCCTCGACACCTTTGAATGGAGACCGAGATGGGGACTCTTCAGTCCCCGTGACAGGAAACGGAAGCCTGTCTGAAGACAGCTTGGATGTGGTATCTAAGGTCCCGCCCTTCACGAGGACCCCGGAGAGCCTGGCGGGTGTCGATGGCACACAGGCTGCGGCAGGTGAAGGAGGCCGGGCCTCAGACAGGTCGTCACAGCCTGACCCTCGTTTGTCCTCCTGGTCCTGTGGGTCACGCTGAGTTCCGGATGGATCTGGAAGGTAAGAAGGCGTTTTTAAGTGAATCTGAAAAATAACAGTAACAGTGACAATGTCCGTCCCAGCCAGGCTATGCCAAGCCTCCAGTGTTACTTTAGTCATCAGAGCAATCCCCTGTGGGGGACCGTACCCGGATTCCAGGCGAGGACCCTGAGTACAGAGAGTCCACCCCTGCCGGCCCCGCCCACCACTGGTGAGCAGCAGAGCTGGGCCTGGAGTCAGGTGTGCACTTGACCTCCTCCCCCACCTGGGCACACGCCCTGTCCATCAGCCAGTCCTCCAGGAGCCGCCCTCTATTCAGGGGTGGGGGGCACAAAGCGGAGGTGTCACCTCCCTGTGGGTGTTGTCAAAACTCACTACAGAGCAGCTTAAACCACAGACCTTGTTCCCTGAGTCCGGAGGCCAGGAGTCCAATTGCAGGTGTCACACGCTGCTCTCCGGCCCGGCCGAGGCTCTGGGGGAGGCCCTCTGTCCTCTTGGCCGCCCGGGTGGCTGGCGGCCCTGGACTCTAGGTGCCTCCCTCCCATCTCTGCCTCTGTCGTCACGCGGCCCTCCTGTGTGTCTCCCCTCTCCTTGTGGGGACACATCATATTGGATGGAGCCCACCCTCCTCCAGTGTGACCTCATCTTCACTGTTTCCAAATAGTCACGTCCTGAGGTTCCGGTGGACATGAATTTGGGGGACACTCTCCATCCCAGTGCAGGAGCCTCTGCAGATCCGCTGAGGTCTTCCAGGATAAAGAGAAACTGGTCCCGTGGCTGCAGAGGGAGGGCCGGGCAGGCAGAGGGAGCTGCCTGTGCAGGGCCTGGGGGTGCAGGGGGCTGGGCTGGGGGACGGGTCTGTCAACAAGACTGATGTGCAGGGCCGGCAGGGAGCAGCCCGGGAGAGTGGTGCCGGACAAAGGACCTGAGACGTAGCCCTCATTGGGGGGCCCATGCGGGAGCCCACAGGTGCAGGGTGGGGGTGCATCTGTACCATCGGTGTTCTAGCAGGAGGGCTCTGCGACCCTGTGGGCCCGTGGAGAGGTCACTCCACACCCACAGCACATCTATGAGCAGACAGACCCTGTGGTGAGACGGTGATGGTGACAAATGTGGCCAGACAGGGACTTGGTGGGCACACTTCATTATGCGTTCTAGTCAATATTATAATCACTGTACACTGACCTGACCCTGTAACCTCTCATCCCATAATCCGTGGTGGCAAAGTATTCTTATCCTTTTTTTTTTATGGAAGACAAAACTAGGCTGCAGAAGTCAAGTCACTGAACCAAGTTTATTAGTCAGATTAGGTGAAACCATATTGTGGTTTCCAGCGAACTCAGCCATCTGGTAGGTTAACGGTCCTGGACTCCTTGCTCCATGTGGTGACTGGGGGTACAAGCAAGCCAGGACGGGGAGTCTGGGACCCACCCCCACTCTCGAGAATCTGGGACCAGAAGTGACATGCGTCACTTCCACTTGCACCCATTGGCTGAAGCTAGTCCTGTGGCCCCAACCTCAGTGCATGGGGGGCAGGGGATGGGGTTGGGGGGGCCGGCCAGGGAGGCACTGCCGAGACCGCAGCCTCTGCCTTCCCGGGGTTAGACCCAGACCCTGGCACGTGGCCTCACTTCCCTTACAGTTTCTTGCAAGACGTGCAAATAACTCCTCTTCTTTTGTTCCTTTCCAGGTACCTCTGAACCTATTGTTACAGAGAGAGCTGCAGAGCCCCAGTGATGGGGAACCCTCTCCCCCAAGAACCAGAAGCTGGAGAGCTGAGGACACACCCCTGCTGGATCAGGCGCGATCTGGGGAAATGGATGAATTGGGTGTGGATTAGAGTTTGAAAGACCTTAATTATTTTTTATTAAAGTAATTTAAACTCACCATTTTAACCCCTGTAAATCATTCAGTGACTTTTAGTGCGTTCATAGGCGGTGCTCCCGTCACCACTATCTGGCTCTAGAACATTCCCATCACCCCCTAAGGAAACCCAGTGCCCGTGAAGCAGCCACCCCCGCTCCTCCAGTCCTGTCCCCTCACCCTCCCCACCCCACGTCCTGGAAAACACCAGCCGACCTCCTGTCGCGGCGGCTGTGCCTGTTGTGGACATTTCACACGAATGGACTCACACGGGCGGTGGCCTCTTGTGTCCGGCCTCTTTCACTCAGAATCATGTGTTCGAGGTTCGTCCGTGTTGTAGCGTGTCAGCGCCTCACCCCTTCTACTGGCTCGACTGTGTACACAGACCCCATTTTATTTCTCCTTTTCTCAGGTGATGGGCGTTTCGGTTTCCATTTTTTTACTATTGTGCTTAGTGCTGCTATGAATATTTGGGTACAACTTTCCATGAGGATATTCGTATATGTTTTCTTTTTTTAAAAGATTTTTATTGGGGAATTGGGATGGGAACAGTGCTGGGGAGTTGGGGGAAGGGGAACAGACAAGTTGCTGTCCTTTTGTTCTTCAGTCTAGTTGTGGAGGACGTCGCTTCACTGGCCCAAGTTGGCACCATCATTGCGCTCTTCCTAGGTGAGGCAGATCAGTCGCCGGCTTCTGGACGGCCTCTCACTGCGGCTGCTGGCCGCTCACGCTGGCTGCTGGCTACATACGGTAGCCCATGGCAACCCACTGCCACAGGGGCTGCAGCCTACGCCGTCGCCAGTGACTCACAGCAGCCCAGCTCCAGGTTGAGCTGTTGTTCAGCATCTTAGCTGAGGAGGGCAGTGTCACTGGCCCTCACATGTGGGATCCGAACCGGGGCCCTCTGGTGTCCCAAGCCAGTTCTTAAAACCATCACGCCACTCGGCCGGCCCTGGCCATTTTTTAATTGGATTGTTTTGGGGTTTTTCTGATGTAGAGTTGTACGAGTTTCTTATAAATTTTGGATGTTAACCCCTTGTCACATGTATCATATGTAAATCTCTTCTCCCATTTAGTAGGATGTTTCATTTTACACTTGATTTCTAGGAATTTCCTTTTTAATTTTAGTTTTTGCAATTATGTAAATGAAATGTTTACCCGGTTCCAAAGTGAAAGCGACAAAACTGGGTCTAGTCAAAGACGTCAGGGTCTTCCCAGCGCCCCAGCCCCTAGTAGGGAGTCGGGGCCCCTGCCCACCTGCCCTGAGCTGCTTCCCTCCTCGCGGTCGGTGTACCCCAGAGACACCCCCCACCCCCAGCAGCTCGGAGCCCCGTCTCTTCTGCACAGCTTTTCCATCGCGTGCACAGAGGGATGTGGGGTCTTCCCAGCCTTCTGCGTTTTCAGTCAGCTTTCTTCCCCTCTTGTGAAAGAGACATTTTTATGCCACATTTCTAAGTGTTTTCGAGTGGAATGCCGTTTTTGTAAATTAGATTAAGTGCTCCGTATGAACCACAATCTAGATTTATTCTTTTCTTCATTATGAAGTAACGTGTGTACTAGCGAAAAAATACTAATAAGCTGCGCCCGTCCTGGGCGCAGCAGTGAGCAGGGGAGACGTCTGCCCGTGGAGCTCACGTCGGAGCAGGACCCGCAGGGCCACATGCCCGTGACCTAGCCAAGGGTGGGGGTGTCTCCTGGACAGAGCACCTCTCACGAGCAAAGGCCCTGGTGGCAGTGAGGCTGCTCCCTGGGGAGAGAGGGTCACTGAGGAACCAGACACGGCCGGGCTCTGCTTCACCCCGAGGTCCTCTGTGCCTTCAGCTCCTATCCTGTCCCCACCCCCTTCATGCCCTTTTGGAGTCTGACACTGCCTCCCAGGGGTCAGCAGGGCCTGGGAGCTGACCCCTGACACCGTGTGTCTCAGGAATCCTGTATGGCACCATGACCACTGAGCTGGGTGGCAGAGTGACCATCGAGTGCAGGCAGAACAACTTCTAAACTGAGCTGGAACTCAAGCTCAAGGTAGCGCTGGCCACAGCACCCCCAGCCTCTCGGAGGGCCATGGCGGGTGTGGGCCTGGGCTGGTGCAGCGTGAGACCTCGGGGATCCCCCTCCTACCCTCTTTGTGCCCCAGAGATGGTTCCCTGAATAAATGTGCCTGGGGGAACAGCTCTTGACATTCCCATAGTATAGCCGGAGCCCAGAGAGGGGAAGGAGTTGGCGAAAGGCCACCCAGCGGAGCCAGAATGGGCCCACGGGGGCTTGTGGGTCTAACAGGAACCTGCATCCTTGAGCTCAGGCTGAGGCATTGGGGAGTGTGGCCGCCTCTAGCTTTGGGCTCCCGTGCACTGGAGGTTCAGAGCCTACCCTCCCATAAGGGTGGTCACCCCATGTCCACCAGCAGGGGCCTCCTCCTCCCCAGCTCACTGAGGGGTACCGCCACCCTTCACCAGCCTCCACCTCAATGTGTCCTCTCAGCCTTTCTTTGGGGGCAGCACGAGCCTCACCCAGATCTCGGGGACGATCACGTCAGGAGAGGACGTCCTGGCACATCTCTCTGGACACTGGGTAAGAGGCCGCCTGCGGGCGGGTTCTGGAGGACCGTGGGCCAGCACCTCTGACCCCGACTGGCCATCCAGGCAGGACAGGGAGGTGTTTATCAAGGAGGAGGGGCGAGGAAGCCCGGAGCGCTTCTAGAACCCGAGCCAGGAGGTCCATGTGCAGAGGCTGAAGCATCACATGGTGCTGTCTGAGGAACAGACGGAGCTGGAGTCCGAGAGGTGAGGCCGCCCAGCACCCAAGGGACGCCGCTGACCCCAGCCTGGTGTGGCCGGGTGGGCACCTGATCTCCAAGTGGGCTGGGTAATGTGCTGTGAGCAAGTCCCCAGGATGTCCCTGGCAGAGATGGTGGCCACAGAGTGGACCCTTTGTGGCACATGACATGTCCTGTCGGGGCAGATGAAGGGAGAAGGAGTGAGGCCTGGTGAAGAGCCTGCTCCGGGGTCTGTCACTGCAGGCAGGTGACCAGCAGCTCCACAGGTAGGGGGGCCTGCTGGTGGGAGATTTAAGCTCAGGGTAGGAAAGAACCATCTCATGGTGAATAAACAGCGTCCCAGGAGACACAGGCACCCTGAGAGGCAGTGAGCTCCCTGTCACTGGAGGCAATCAAGTGGAGGTTACTCTAAGCCTCCCCTCCAATGGTTAGGGGGCGTGACTGCCCAGGTCCCCAGCTCAGAGCAGGTGCCCTGCCTGCAGGCTCTGGCAGCATGTCACCAGGGCCATCAGGGAGGGTGACCAGCGCAAGGCCACACAGAAGTTTTCATTGGAGGAGGCACAGCGGCAGCAGACCCACAGGTGCCAACCGAGCCTTGTGCCCTGGACGTCCCAGCTGTACTACCCAGGAATGGTGCTACCCTTATGAGAAGTGAGTGCTGGCGGGCGGGGTCCAGGGGCCCATTGATGCGCTGGACCAGCAGACTGCCCAACCCTGGACCTGAGAAACTAGCAGGGACCTCTGCTTCCCTGGAGGAGCGAGGAATGGGGCTGGGGTCATATCGGGGATCCCCTGGCAGGCCCTTCCTGTGTGCCCTGCACACTGGTGCAGGCACCGGTCACTCTCATGGGGCTCTGGCCACTGCTCACACACTGGGGGCTGGGCTGGGATGGTGTCCCCTTCCCTGGAGACCCAGTGTCCCTGCCAACGGATGCGCTCTGGACCCTCCAGCTACAGCCCCTGGGACCCCCTGAAGGACATCGCCCAGTTTGAGCAAGATGGGGTTCTGCACTCCTGCAGGGAGAGACAAGAACCCACCACACTCGCTCTGTGGGCAGCCCGGGACCCAGGCACCAGGTCAGCACCCTCAGGGCCTGGCAGGGCTGTGCCTGCTCCAGCCCACGCCTGGGCAAAGAGTCACACCTCCTCTGTCACCCGAGCCCAGCAGCTTCCTCCTCTTTGAGCCACCTCTCCTAGAGCTGACCTGGCACAAAGGCCCTGCATGATGTCCCCCAGGCCAGCAGCACACCCAGCAGGTCCCCAGGGTGCAGCTGGAGCTCAAGGCCACCCAAGGGTGTGGTGGGTATGGGAGGGCTCCTGGCCGCAGTGGCTCCATCTCTGTCTAGGCACCTGGCCAAGGCCTGCGGCTATGCAAGGCCAGCGACCAGCCCTCTGGCCACAGCCAGGACACCGAGAGCAGCGGCTCCACCCCCAAATCCTGCCCAGAGCTCTCGGAGGAGGATGATGACAGTGACCTTGTTCCCGGTGAGCCCTTCTGGGCCGACCCCTCTGCAGGGTGGGAAGGCCAGAGAAGCCACTTTCTCAGGTGGGCGAGTGGCCGTGTCCCAGGAGGAAGCCCCTTCCCTGCCCCACCCTCCCTGAGCCCAGGGGCAGGTGAGGGGTTTGGGTGGGCCAGGGACTCCCCAACCCTGAGCTCAGAGGGTCAGGGCACCTCCCTTTGCGGCCAGGGTGGTGTGAGGGGCGGAGCTGGGCAGTGTCCATCTGTCTGTGACCCTCGGGTTCCACACCTGCCTCTCTACCCATTGTCCTCACAGGTGGGAGTGTGTGTGTCTCCCCAGCTTTGTCCCCACCTCTGCAGTGGACAAGCCTCTCTTGGCCATTTCTGTGGCCCAAAGCTTATGAGAGGCCAGCTGAGCCTGGGGTCCCTCCTGAAACATCCCGTGTCCGCACCTGTCCCTCAGCTCCCTGTGTCATTAGCTTTGTCCTGAAGGCTCTGTGACGTGGGGCAGGGGCTCCGGGAGGGAGGGTGGGGTGCGCAGTGAGGGGTGGAAGTCCGCGATACCCTCCCCACTCCACCTCCTGGAAGCGACACGTGAAAACTCCGAGGCTGGGGGAGGCTGGGTATGGCCGTCCTGGGGGACCCGGACCCCAAAGACCAGCCGGTGTCCCCCGTTCCATCGACAGCCTGGGCTGAAGGCAGGACGCGCTCGGCAGGGCTGCGCGTCTGAGAAGCGGGCCCCCGAGGGTGTTGGCACCGGAGGACGGGGGCGGGCGGGGCAATCAATGAGCGCTGGGCGACACCGGGCCAAGTAGGGTCTTTATAAACCAGGGGGTCGGGGCCGGCCGAGCGGCTCAGTGGGTTAAGGGCTCCCTCAAGAGTGGAGCTCTGAGCAACAGGGCCGCTGGGTTGCTTTCCTGCCCCGTCCGAGCTGCCAGCAGGTGGCAGCACGGCGCAGCTAAACATCATAAATAAATAAACCGGGCGTTTCCGATTGTCTTTCTAGCGTTGCTCTGGCGACGGAACGGCCGAGGGTGAGCTGCTCTGGGATTGGATGGGATGCCTGCCCATCTGTGACGTCATAGCCCGCCCCTGGCCCGCTGCGCGCGGAGCTCGGGAGCCGCCCTGGGTCCCTCCGGCGGCTGTTGCGCTGCGTGGATCCGGCGACCACGGTCCTGCGAGCGGCTCTTGCGCTGCCGCCGCCGCTTCGGGCTCAGGTGGGTGAGCGGCGGGTCGTGGGGGCTCCGGGCAGGGAGGACCCCGAGAGCCGGGGAGGCGGCCGAGTCCCGGGGAGCGCACCCCGGTCCCGGGGAGCGCACCCCGAGCGAGGCTGGCGCGGGTGGCGGGACCCTCGCGCACGACAGGACTCCCCCTGAGTTCTGCAGCCAGGAGGGAGCCGGCCCTGTTGAAACGGAAAGTTGTTAAGCCCTAGAAAGAACTTACTAAAGCTGTTTAAACGTGCCCGGAGGGAGTCCACAGCGCTCCGCACCCCCGAGCACCCCAACACCCGGGTCCAGAGCAGGTCTCGGCGGGGAATCCTCCCCGACCCCACC